GTTATATCTGAATAAGAATAACCAACTACTTTTAATTCTAATAAAGTCAATTCAATAAAACTTCTTGAATTCCTTGATTTCCAAGTCAATCTTGATGGTAATGGTGAGGGTAACCTTCTCTGAAGCAGTGCAGTGGAATTCAAACAATTCAAGAAATTCAATAGAATTTCTTGAATTCCTTCATTTCCGTGGATCCGCGGTACGGTTTAACTCTGAATGAGGCAATTGTAATAGCAGCTTGAATTTCTTAATTTTCACTGAGTTGCGAATTTCTAGATCCTAGGTATATCTCTATAAAGAAGTTAAGTTCTTTAAAAGATCATTTTCTATTGAAAACTTAGAACACTTGGTCTACTGGAAACATTAATATTTCGAAGAAACATTCGTTGGAACTAAAACTTATGGAAGATTCTAGTAATAATGAGAGCTGCGCATGTTCAAAATTTCAAAACGAAAACTCTTCACCCTATCTCATTGGAAAAGCTTTAGTATAGGTTAAAAAGTGATTTAAATGGTGTTCATTAAACAACCATGAATGCTGAGACATACACATGGAGCTACAGCATTATAAAGCTGACTATGATCAATTCAATGATTATTGTTGCGGTTGAGAAACAAGATCACACTTAGAAATCTTTCCTTGTTATCAATAGCCAATTCGCATACTAATTTAAATATTGGTAAACGAAGTTCCGATCGACTTACGACTGCTCCTGTGTACCAATATTTGTTGGATTCCCTATTACCATTAGTAATTGTTGCAATATTAGCAATTCTCGATCGTCAAAAACTTTGGAGTTAAAGTTGTAAGGTTGATTTCTAAAATATATAATTCAAAGCATGGAGTATATGTTGAATTAGCTCGAAAAAATTTAAATTTCAATCTTTGAAAACATTGTCGTGCATAATGGCGAAACGATCATTCTTTTTTTTGGTACTGACACATTTGTCAGAGAAGCTCTTTTATGAACTGAGGAGTCATTGATAATTGAAACACTCACTCGGCTATATCTTCTCTGCTATCCCCGTATAGTTTGGCTTAGCTCATATATATATATATGTATTGCAAGATCCACTTTAAAAGTCTATCTCAGTATTTCTTCAATGTCTTTTCCATTTTTATTTTCGCTAAGATCGAAGCAATCCTTTTTAACAATTTTCTCTTTAATTCTTTTTAAAAAATGTATGAAAACACTTGACGTCCGATAGCGATAGGAAAAATCAGTATAAAACTATTTTAAAGCTCAAACACATAAAATTTTTCTAAACGGTTGTCTCAACAGGTCTCGGCATTGTTTTATAGTTCTACAAATTGAAGAAATCCTGACAAATAAGGTGTGAAAAACTTTCAAGAACGGTTCACTTAGAAGAGACAATTTAAACATAAAAAGTGCCGCTATTCAAAACCTAATAGCTATTTTAAGTTTCCATAGCTATTTAAATACTTGTGAATTATTCATTCACATTGAATATATTTCCTAGAATAGCTGTCATTTTTTTAAATAAGTATAAAGCTTTGAATACCTATTACGTTTTAAATAAATATGGCGAATTAAATAGCTATGAAGATTTATTTAAGAAGTATTCCTTCTGAGAAGCTAAAATTCAGGATTTATGTTAACACAGAACCGAACTCATCATTGTTCAGCTTGGACGAGTATCCATCTATCGAAAGTTCTATCTTTCAAAGATATTGACCGATAACAGCAACATATTTTACACAGCAAAAAAATACGTAAGCACTAAATTCTTGCTAAACGAGTTAAGCAAGAAAGTTTTAGACGGTAACCTCCTCAATTGAAATTTTTTTTTACAGGGAAACGCTTATATTATTTTATGATTTTTTGAGGAAATTTAACTCAACTGAAAACTGTACCCATTGGTAACTATCAATAGTACTCGAGAGAGAAAACGCGAGGCCTCAAGTGTTTTTGAAGTACAAGTGAAATACCTTGAAGTACGGTGAAGAACGAGTGGAGTACGTTTCTTCACGGTACTTGACTCGTACTTGACTGTACTTCATGTAGCCAGGAAAAACTCACTTCGATCAGTTGCCTGCATTTCTTCAGAAACTGAAAAAAATAGTGAAAAACAATAACTTTTTAGAATGTTCACAAAAACTAATATTTATTTTGTTCTATAGACTTCAGACGAAAGAGTATTTATACATACTCACAGCACAACAGACAGGATAATTTTATTTGTCCTATTATTTGAAACAAATACATGAAAATAGTGACTTTCTATGCTCGTGGCATTTCTGCGCCAGTTCCATTGTTTTTGTGTCTGTGATCATTATTTTTCTAGAGTTCTGACAAGTATTCAACGCTGACTTTTTTGGAAAAAACTTTGTTCGAAACTATAACAATTGAAAGAAATATTGCTATGAGAACATTGTCGATTCATAACATTTGAAGTGATTTGTGCTTTTTCATTCAATTCGATATATATAAATACATCAATAACAACAACACGAGTTTTATTGATCATTATCATTTGGAATTTTTATTTCAAAAGGTCTTGTGAATATTTTGAACTGAACTTCAGTTGACTATTAACATAAATGGTAAGTAAAATATATAAAAATTCATTTACAACGGATCTTGTATTTTTTTCTCTCTTGCTTTTCTTTTCTATCACATTGTAATGAAGAAGCAAACGTTTTGTCCCTTTGCATATCAATGTTAAAGAAAAGCAACAAAGAAAAGAATAGTTGCAAATCTATTTTATATTTTTACTTATCGTTTATGTTAATAGTCAACTGAAGTTCAGTCCGAAATATTCACTAGAATTTTTGAAAGAAAATTTCCAAAAATAATGATCAATGAATTTGTATTCTTAGGAACTGATTGATAGGTGTTTATGACTATCCGCTGTAACCGAAAAATACAAAGCAAAATGTTAGTGCTAAAAGCATTTCAAGGAAATCGTTCTCGTTGAAGATCTGTATGCCTGTTTTCTTTTCCTCAAGAATCTTTCATTATTTTTATCTTCATCATAGAACTTCGAACAGCACAAGCACTAAATGACTCACTTATACCGCTTCCTCACTTTTTTGAGGAGACTAGTTTTAGAGCAGATAGTCTGTGCTGTTCATTTCGTAAAAAACTGCGAAAATTTTTCGACGTGAGAAAAATAATTAATATGAGATGAAAATATCAGTATACAAGACTAGCAGTTCTACTTGATGATAATGACCTTGTGAAGAGACTACATTTTGGAAAAACATTTACCGGTGGTATTCTTGTGCAACCTTGAGTGTCCACGACTAGAATAACAGTGTAATACATCGACGTTATGTAATGAATGGAAGCAAAGCACTGTAGTGCATATGTATACGTCGTGAAATAATTTTAGCTTTTACGCATACGTGTCTACACGTGAATAAATCAAGTATAACATATACTATTTGCCCGTTTTCTATTGTTTTATAGAGATACTCTTTTGTTTTATTTATTCTCTTCCGTATCGTTCGAGTAGTTTAAGCAGTAACGATGAATATTCAATAGAATGCTCGGTAGCACATGCGCTATACTAATGACTCACCTATTTATTTTTGACGTATCGCACAGGATCGGTATAAAATTGAAACTTCATTAGCGATAGTTTTTCGCTCAATTTAATGATAATGATTGAATTAAATGTCAAACATCTCTGTTACACCCGAGTGGGATAGTCGTTTCTGGCTATTTCTCCTTTGCGAACATAAAATAAAGTTATATTTAAGTATAATGAAATTGTTTTAAATTTTTGATGGATTACAAAATTGATAATTTAATTTGTTTTCGGTAAAACAAAAAAATTTAATAGTTAACTTTGAATCATTTAATTCATGAGAATGTATACGGAAATGGATCGTTTTAAAAATTTCATTAAAAATTATTTTATTTTAAGAGAAATTAGTATACTTTGTAGAAGACGGGAATTTTTGTTCATGGTAGATTTTTTATTTCAAAAATATATCTAGTGATGCATAGAGTATCTGAACATTTCAACCAGAAAAATGTTCTTATCCAGGAAGCATTGTGATCATATATAGAAAGCTGTACATGGTATAAACATTATCAAGTTTTATATAAGATAAGTAATATCTACATAAGAAATGGTTTTAAAATTAATTTAAGCCTTAAAATAAATTATAATTTTCAGTTAGATATAAGATGAGCTTTGTCAAAGTGAACTAAGTATTTAAGACAGATGTGAACTAGATGATTCGTCTTTCTTTTTGTCATGCATAAACTAATATTCAAAATGCACGAACAAAGACTATTTATATATGTTCAGATAAGAAGAATTTTAGTCGAATTCATAGCGATAATTCAATTCTTATTGTTTGGGACTTCAGTTGATATTTATATGCAATACTATCAATAATAATATAGATTTGATTCTATTTATGATAATATTGTAATTGTTCACAAAATCAAAACGAATTGCCAATGTTGTAAAACAGTAATCATTGGTTTTTGATGACTGTTTTACAATCTACGAAAAAAAAACCCAAGTAGCATTACGTTTGGACAAGTCGAGAACGATATTTTGCTATATGATGCAAATGTTACTTATCATATAGCAAATGAAACCAAGCAGCATTAATCAACTGATGTCAAAACACATGTTCCTTTATTTTGAGACCATTAAATATTCTCGAACAAATAATAAAAAAGCATATGGATCATAATTATTATTATCTTATGAAATACATAAACAAAACACTAAATTTATTAGAGTAAATGAAAGAAGGTTGAATGAATTACGACAAAAAGAAAGAGTAACATGATCTGATATCATTTAAAGTGAATTGTCTATTTCTTCCTTTCTTTTTTATATTCGAGTCAAGATTAAGACATAAATGATCATAAATAGTGTGCAGTGTGTTAGTCTCGATGTCATTGCTGAATTACACAAATCTGTTTCACAACAAACATTAGCCAAAATTGAAGAACCAGTGATCTATTCAATGCACTAACGATTATATTTGTTTGATTTCAATAGAAAAACAAGAGAACTTACTTGAACATTACATCGTTCTTTAGAACAACCACGAACAATACCACTATGAAATGCCGATGTGTAACATCCATTATCCTCACTAGTACAAGATCTTATTGTATTACTTAATTTTGGACAATTCATTGAGCATGTATCATGAGAATAACATTGAAGTGCTACAAAAAAACTATTATCGAAAAAGTAAAATGTACTCAAATTTCACCTTCATCTAGAGCAATATAATCAAGAAATAAAATAGCAACAAGAATGATTGATTTCATGTTTTTTACGGTTCTAATCTGAGCAGTAAAAAAAGATTGTATCTTTGATTGTCAATTGGTACGGGTGTGCAAATTCAAGCAATCAGTATACTGTTGTAATGATGTATCGCTCAATATAGACACAAAAAAAAAGAGACAGAGAGATGATATTTCTTCCATCTTACGTTTGGCACCGATTGTTTCTACTAATTTATAAATGAAGAAAAGCAATAGTAAGGTATCTTTTGTTATTTGCTTGTGTCTCCATAAAATCCATTACTACAGAGACAAAGAATGATGATGTTGAATGAATATTGAACATAGCATAATCGAAATAAAACAGAGAAGAGGAAAAAAATTCAATGTTAGACGTCGACAGTATAGATGAACATGAGTTTATATTTGTTCTTTACTTTAATTCGAACTATAGTCTATTCAAAAGTAAGCATAGAACAAACTTATCGAATGTTTTTGATGATAAAACAACTACACTTCATAAGAATGCAATACATCAATACATAAAATAGATCCAAGGCATATGTTTTTTTTTAAAGTATTTATCTTATTTTAACAATGATCCATAAAAAGATAAGTATATAGATGCAACATAGAAATATATTGATCATTGAAAACACCATGTATATATAAAAGCAATGAAACTCATAAAAACAATAGATATTGTTGATAGTTTAATTTGAATAGATGAATTACAGAGATCTCCTGAACAACAGACATTAGCAGTGTTGAGAACACCAAGATTAATTTGTACTTCACATCGATGATTACCTTCAAAAAAACCATTATCAGATGAAGCAATTTTTCAAAAATAATATCAAATACATACCACAGCCACGGAGTGTGCCTAATGGAGAAGTCATTTTCTAAAAAATGAAATATTTATATTACGAAAAAAAAAAAAAAGCAAAATTGATTTTTCAAAATATTTACCCAACAATGAGTTTCTTCTTTTTTACATTCAACAATACTTTCTGATAATTCTGGACATTTATTAAGACAATAATCATGTTTATAACATTGAAGACCTTTAAATATAAGATGAAAAATCCTATTCATTCATAGTCATATTTTATACCTTGACTTAATGTTATATACAAAATGACGAAAAAAGTACAAATAATGGTATTTCTTTTATTCATTATATTATTATTATTATTATAGGTATGTAGATGTATGAGATCTGAAAGAGAACAAAATGAGCTTTATAGATAGCGTTTCTTGAACTTCTAAGCTTTTATTTATTAAAAGACTGTAAGAAAAACTAATAAATACAGATGGATGATAATTTTTAAAAAAATCAAATATATTTAGAAAAAGAAGTCCCATAAAAGCAGATGGTCATAAGATTTTTTTTTCCCGTTAATGAAAATAAAAATGCAGATATCAATATTGATAAACATATGGTTATCATTTGCTTTCAAATAAAACCTTATATCGAAAGATTGAAATCAGCTTGAGTACGTCATTTCAAATATGAATCATTTAAATCTTGTTATCAAGGTCTGTTATTGTTTTTTTTTAACTATTGCATATCATATCTATTATCTAAAAAAATGCGACATGACATATTCCGAAACATGTATTTTGTCAATGCATGAATATAGTAGTTTGAAAATTCTACAAATGAATTTCTATTTTTTTTCTTTTGAAAACAAGTGATCTTACAAATATTTGTCTTACAGATAACTTTATTGATCTGAAAAGAATATTTACTAAATAAAGCAATGACTACTTCTCAAGAGACATGAAGAAAAACAAAATATCGATTGAACTCACAAATGTCAATAACGAATTTTCTTGTTTTTGATAGATAATTTCTTTAGTTTATTGTGTAAAAAAAGATAATATACTTGTTAGCAACATTACTTTCATAATAACAATTTCATTTCTAGTGACGAGAAAAGAAAAACCACGATGATAATCAGAGATTCCGATATTGATTTTAAAATCGAGTGTCGCCGTTGAAGTTTGAGAACCTCATTCAAAAGAAAACTCAAAACTTAGCTAAGAAATACTATTTTCGCATCGAAAATTGTATCAAATATCCTAAAATATTTTTCGATTATTTAAATAATCTATGAAGATTAAATAGTTAATAATTCACGAAATTCATTGAGAAAATGAGAACCCATTATCGTAACATATATAGAGAGACGTAAGGTGAAGCAATAACGATCGTCCATGTTGCAATAAAAATATAATTATTAAAATATACAGAGAAAATATTCATAGACTAAATATTGTCAAATATAATTCACGTTCACCTTAGCTCAAAGTAATTTTGCTTATTTTGCATGTTTTATATTTTTCCATATACTTACAACCAAAATCCATAGCATATTTGAAATCAGACGATAAAACTAGATCGTCATATCTTGATACTTTTCTTACATTTACGAATTATTCAACAATTAAGAAACTCTTTAAAAAAAAAACGTGCATAATTCTGTACGTTGGTATTCAAAAAGTTGAACTAACTTTTAATAGTGATATATATAACCTAGTAGTGAGCTGAATATTTCAAGACAATATCTACTAGCGTCATCTACATATTTTATTAATGAATGGTTGATTTCCTTTAATATCAATCGAACAATGAAATACAGGATAGGTTCCGATATTTTCCACTTTTTTTTTTCACAAGAAATTTCAACTATACAAGTGATATTTTTTGATTAAAAAGTATCATAAAAAATGGCTCGTAATTCAGAAAAAGCTATGACAGCATTAGCACGTTGGCGTCAATTACAATTGAAAGAACAAGGAAAACTTCGTATCGATCGTCGTCCACATTTAGCTAGTGACGAAACAAATGTAAAAAGAGCTGAAAAATGGCGATATCAAGTTGTACGTGAAATAGCAAAAAAAGTAGCACAAATTCAAAATGGTAAAAAAGAAAAAAAAAACAAGTTTATTAGATACAGTTTTCTTTAATTATCATTATTGTTTTAGCTGGTCTTGGTGAATATAAAATTCGTGATCTTAATGATGAAATAAATAAACTTTTACGTGAAAAATCACATTGGGAAGATCGTGTTAAAGAACTTGGTGGAATAGATTTTAAAAAGACAGCACCAAAAATGCTTGATAATGAAGGAAAAGAAGCGCCTGGTAATCGTGGTTATAAGTAATACAAACAAAAAAAAAAAAATTTTACTTTTCTTTTTTTGTTTTTTTTTTTTTTGTTAAAGATATTTTGGTGCTGCAAAAGATTTACCTGGTGTACGAGAATTATTTGATCAAGAACGTAAGAAATAAATATATATACATTAATATTATCATTATATTTATTAAAATTTTAGCACCTCCACCACCAAAAAAACAACGTGGTGAAATGATGAAAAATATTGATGCAGATTATTATGGTTATATGGATGATGATGATGGTTTACTTATTCCAAGTGAAGAAAAATGTGAAAAAGAAGCAATTAGAAAAAAACTTGAACAATGGAAAAATAATGAAATAAATAATACAGATGTTGATGAAGTATATGTCTTGCCAGAAATGAATGTATGTCATATTTTTCTTTATTTTATAAAATTCAAACGAAATTATTCTTTAATTTAAAATTACAATTTTCTATAGGAAATATTTTGTTTGATATGAATTTGTATAGATGTAATAAGTAATATATTGCTATCTGTTACGAAATCTTTTGAGTACAAATAAGTTTTTACCATTGCACTATTTTTTTGCTTAAGTTTTCAATTTCAATGATTTTTTTTTGCCTATTGATGCTATTAAATATTCTAATTAGAATTCTAAAAGGATGTTGAATCATATAGAAAATCCGTTTAGACTAGCTTCCATAAAACAAAATCAGAAGTTTTTAAATAAAGTCTCATCGAAATATGAAGCTCTCAACAAACTTTTGAATCTTTTTTCACTAGAAGTTATTCTAGTTGAGTTCACTGTATGTGAAAATTTCTCATGCAGTCGTTAAAGTTAGTTTTAATTGTTATTATGATTGATTCATAATCATACTAATTTTGAAAATTTACGAAGAAAATCTTTCGAACCGATTCATCACGCTTGAGTTCATATTTTGGGTACACAGAGAACGTCGATAAATTAGAATAATTGTAAAAAGATTCAGATCTGTAGATCTTTGTTTTATTTTAAGATTTTCTCTATAAGTAGGTCTGAGGTCTTGAAGAATATTCAAACAATTGAAGTCAAAATAATTATTTCTGAATTTCAATCAGTTTGTACATATCAAATATTTTACAAAGGAAATAATCATACAATATTATGAGACCTACTTACAGATTTAAAAACTATATTGGTTTAACTATTGAGCAAAACTTTCTGTAATGAATGCCTTTGGAATATTTCTTTTGAATAGAATCCATTGAGTTTATATGTGTAAATTTATATTAATTTCAAATGAATAGTTTTTAATCTCGATACTCTGAGAAAAGATCATAATTGAATATAAAATAAAAATGTTTTATTTAGTCCGACGATGAAGATTATGTTGTTGGTCCATCATCTCGAATCGATGTTGATGTAATATCAAAAGATCATATATTTATTGCACATGTACCTGTTCCTAGTCAAAAAGAAGTAAGAATTCATTAAGAGAAATTTGTTTTAATCGAAATAAATATATATATATATTGTGTTTTAGGTTGAACGTGCATTATTAGAACGAAAAAAACAAGAATTACTTGCTAAATATGTATCTGATGATCTTTTAAAAGAAGAACAAGAAGCAAAAGATTTACTTGGAAAATAAAATATTTGTATAAAATAAATTTTTTGTGTCTATTCTAACAAATAAATAAAATGAAGATGAATGGACTTAAACATATTGTTTTTTTTTTATAGTTTTTGTGATAATTTCAGATAAGATAGATGCATTGGTTTTTTGCATTCATTCTTCTTTTTATTGTTTGTCTTATACATTTATTTATTTGTCCATATACAAAAGTTGAAGAAAGTTTTAATTTACAAGCTATTCATGATCTTCTTATTTATGGTTTCAATATATCAAATGTAAAAATAAAAAATATAAAAAAGAATAGATATTTAATGTTTAATTTTTCTTTTAGTATGATCATTTAGAATTTCCTGGAGGTATGAATATAAAAGATATTTGAAGACAATAATAAATCATTTGTTTGTTTGTTTTTTTTAATTTTATTTAGTCGTACCTCGAACATTTCTCGGACCAATATTTATTGCAATATTAGCTTGGCCTTTTTCAAATATTTCATTTGATCATCTTGTTTATTTACAATATATTGGTGAGATAAAAATTTATTTATTTTTATTTATAAATAAATATCATCTCATTATTTAGTTCGTATTATTCTTGGTATATTAGTTATATCAGGTTTAACACATATATATAAATCACTAAAAGGTTATTGTGATTTATCAACAAGACGTTGGTGGTTAATTATAATATTAACACAATTTCATTTATTATTTTATTCAACACGAACATTACCAAATATATTTGCACTTGTTATTGGTTTGTTTATTGGTTTAAATAAATTATGTAGTAAAATGTTTTTTTTTTGTTTTTTGTTTAGTTTTACATTCATTAGCATTTTGGCTATCAAAACAAGAAAAATCACTTGTATGGACATCAGCTTTTGCAATACTTATTTTTCGTTCAGAACTTGTTATCTTATTGGGTTTAATTTTATTACAAGAAGTTTTTATTAAACGACGTTTAGCTTTTAAAAAAACTTTATTTCATGGACTAATTGCAAGTAGTTTAGCTATTGGTAAAATCAATGATTTTCTCTTTTGTTTTTTTACTGAAGAAAATGATTGATTATTTGGTTCTTTGTTTTTTCTTAGGATTAAGTGTTCTAGTTGATAGTTGGTTTTGGCAACGTTGGTTATGGCCTGAAGGCGAAGTGCTCTATTATAATACAATTCTCAATAAAAGTTCACATTGGGGTGTATCCTTTTTTTTCTTGCTCGATCGTATACAGCATACTATCGAACGGGTGACCCAAGACTTATATCCATTAGTGGCTTGTCAAAAAGGGGACCCGTTGAGTCTAAAATTTTCGGACCTGATTAACGAAAAATCTTGAAATTCGAAAATCTAAGATGAGGTTTGCTCACAGTACTTTGTCTAGTAACTAAATAAGTTCACATATCATAGTTGAATAGATGGTATCTACATGATAAAAAATCAAAAAGAGTGAGCATAAGAGATGATCGTAGAAATGAAATTCACGAACATAGATAAATGAAGGCTATTCAGCGATAAAGTAAACAACATCTAAAAATAAAATATTAGGATTTTTCACTAGGAGTTTCGTCGATTATGGAAATTAGTATCATTTGTTCTAGGAAATATTTTCCTTAATTCTTTATTTCTATAGACATTTCCGTTTTTATGGTATTTTTATTCGGTTTTACCACGAGCACTTGGTGCAACACTTATTCTTCTACCAATAGGATTGATCATCAATAAAAATATTCGATCGATTTTATTACCAAATATTTTATTTATAATAATCTATTCAATTTTACCACATAAAGAACTTCGATTTATTATCTATACGTTTCCAATTTTGAATATACCTATTGCTCAAGCATGTTCATCATTGTTCGTATACAATTTTTTTTTTTTTGTTAATATTTTTCATTTGTTTTTTACATATATATATACAGATATCAAATGAGAAAACGTTGGTCAATTATACTTAAATTATTTGTTTTAAGTTTATTAACTATTAATCTTGTTCAAACAAGTATTTCATTGAGTGCTTCACATTACAATTATCCAGGAGCGAATGCTTTATTTACATTACATACATACAGAAAATGTAAAACAAAAAAAAAAAAAAAATTTTTTTTTTAAAAAATAAGTGACAAATTAAATGAATTGTTTTAGATCAACCAACAGCTACAGTTCATATTGATGTTTATTCAGCTGAAAATGGAATATCTCGTTTTCTTGAAATGAAATCTTGGATGTAAGTTATTTTATTTACTGAAATATTTTCTAATATTTATTGTTTTTTTTTTTTTTTGTTATTTCAGTTATAATAAAACAGAAAATTTAACTATTGATGAATTATCTCATTTTGATTATTTATTAGTTGAATCATCAAATGATGAAGATATTCGTTTAAATTCATATTTATCTTATAATCTACAAATTATTGATTTTGTTCGTGGATTTAATGGATTTTATATTGATAAACAACTTTTATTAAGAATGCGTTATACACCAAAAATTTATATATTAGAAAAAAAGAAATATTCAATTTAAATATCTTCTCTTTCTTTTTTAGATATTTAAATAAATCCATTGAATATTACAATAAAAATGAGTATTATATATTGTTAAGTAATAAAACGATTGAAGGAAATGAAAAATATTTTTCTTTTAAAGAAATAATAAGTTCATATGAAATAATCTTTTCTTCATAGTGATAATGTTCATGTAAAAAAAAAAAGTTTAAGAAATCAATCCGAAAAGAAAACCATTATACTTTTTTAGTGTTGATACATTTAAAAGTACAAAACAAGGGCTTATTCTATACTACATATTTAACTTTAGATCATCAGACTTACAATGTCTCAAAATAGATTGTATATATTTTTAAGAAAGCTAAATATGGAACTGTTTATAAATAGTGTCTTATCTGTATATATTCTCTCCCTTTTATTGTTTTATCACTCAGCTCAAAAAAAAATATTAAGGCAGAAGAATTTTTTGGTTTAGAAAGTTGGTTTGCTTCTATTTGTTGAATATTCTTCGTTCAGTTTTACCCCTGAGCATGCCATAGGAATAAGTTTTTGTAGAGATTTCAAGGGCATATCTGGCAAAAACAATCATATTAAAATACTGAAAGATTCATTAATTATGAGCTACCCGATATTTGTCATATTTTTTTTAGCTCTCAAAGTATTCATTTATTTCAGAAAACTAAATAATACGTTTTCTTTTCGACTGATCGAACGATGATGAACAACAAAATATTTTAACTTAATTTAAAACTTCACTTATAATAATGCTGATAAATTGAAATCGATCTTGGACTAAGTGCATTCAAATCACATGAAATTATCAGCTCTATATTGTCGTGATTTCAGAAGATATTCAATAAATTATTTCAAAGAGCATGTCATGCTGCAATGCTCTTTTGTAAATTCTTATTTTTTTTTTTTTGTGAAGAGAAAAAGAATCAGAAGTTCAATTCGTTAAAAAAAATGTAGAGAAATGTGTTTTTGTGTAATAACAAAGAAAATTGAATTTAAAAAATTGGATACCACAGCTTTACATGCTCTTTCGAATAAGAGAAAAAATGAAAAATCTTTTTCACTTGATCTAAAGAAAGCATATGTTTCAAATAGAAGATGACGAAAATTTTTGGAAAAAATTGAGTTTTAGAGATAGAAGAAGCTAATATTTATCCTACATAGAAATGATACGATTATTGTATTACTAAATAGGGTCGGAATCTTTGTTGACTATTTTTTTAAATTAATTAATTTATAATAGTAGATGCATTATTGTTATTTAAAATGCCATGAAATTTAGTTTATTTTAGATAAGAAAAAGCATGTTTTCAATCTATAAAACAATTCATCCTCCTACTGGTATTGAACATGCTGTTTGGGCTCGTTTTATATCTCCATTAGAAAATAGTTTAATATTAAGTAGTGCAAACTATTTATATGTTTATCGTATTACTTCGCATGCATTAAAATTTGAATGTTTACATACATTTGTTCTATGGGGAAATATTTGTTCAATAACACCATGTCGTCTTGGTCCATCATCATCATCATTAATACCATCAAAAGATGCTTTATTTTTATCATTTATGGATGCTAAATTATCTTTAATTGAATTCGATCCGACAATACAAGATTTAAAAACTTTATCAATGCATTATTTTGAAGATGAATTAGCTAAAGAAGGTCAATGGTTTAATTATTCACCACCTATTGTACGTGTTGATCCTGATATGCGTTGTGCTTGTATGCTTATTTATAATTCAAAACTTGTTATTATACCATTTTTTAGTCAATTGGATAGAGAAATTATTACAAGTGAAACTATACCGAGTACAGCAAGTATGTATTTTGATTTATTTTATTTTGTAAATTATATAGAAACAAATGCATATCACGATGCCTCTGAAGATCATGAAATAAAAAAACAAACATCAAAGACAATATTATTAGTGTAGTTAGACAAAGTTGATAGAACAATTAAGAATATGTCTACGAAAAATTGAAATTTATCTTGTTTGAATTTTTCATACATATATTCTCATCTACAACTTGAACAGTAGGAAATCTTCCACGGACAAAACTAAAACAATACTTTTATCAATCGTTTATATACTTCATATTATGCTTTATTTAGCTTTTGATGATATTTAGAATACGTGAATATCAATACAGTGAAGAAAAATCTCAATTAATCGTTTTCAGGTTTATAATCAAGTTATGCCTGAACATACCTCGTTTTTTCTTGAAAGCCAGTTGTAATTATTGAAGAGATCTATCGGCTATTAAAAAAACTATCAAAACTAAAAATGGTTAACTAGGATATTTTTTTTTCTTTGTAATCTTGAAATGAAATTAAAAGAATAAACTTTCAGAGTTTATCTAATTAATTTTTTAGTCAGCTATTCTTTTACATGTTGAAATTTATAAGAAATAATCTTGTCAATCGTATTTTTATTTTTTGTGTAAAGAGTCATGACATTTACGATTACTTTTAGTATTAGATCTTCATTTTCTCAAGATTATGCTTTATATCAAAAACGACTTAAATATAGTAAAAAATATTATTTTAAGTTTCTTGTCATAGATAGTGACTTTACTCTATACATTTCATTACTTTGATTAATCTTTCTTTTCTAATTGTTTTCTTTGTTTAGATATAACACCTGGTAGTTCAAGAAGTTCATCTTTATCTTCTTATATTGTTCATTTAAAAAAACTTGATGCATCATTAACTGGTCGTATAATTGATTTACAATTTTTACATAGTTATTATGAACCAACATTATTCATATTATGTGAATCAAGTCGAACATGGGTTGGTCGTGTAGCTGTAAAAAAAGATACATGTTGTAGTGTTGCACTTTCAATAAATGTTGCTCAAAAATCTAATCCAGTTATATGGCCTGTTGATAAATTACCATTTGATTGTCTTAGTTGTTTATCTGTACCTAAACCTATTGGTGGTATTCTTGTTTTAGCAACAAATTCAATTATTTATCTTAATCAAAGTATTCCAGCTTATGGTGTTGCATTAAATACATTAACACGTGATTCAACAAAATATCCATTAAGACCATTATATGATCTTAAAATAGCACTTGATCTAGCTGAAGCAATATTTATATCTAATGATAAAGTTCTTATATCAATTAAAACAGGTGATATTTATTTATTAACATTACATACAGATACAATGCGTACAATGAAAGAATTTACATTTGATCGTATTGGATCAACTGTATTATGTAATTGTGTAAGTTAAATAAATTATTTATCTTTATTATACATTTTTAGAAAAGAATTATGAAATTCGTTTGGTCTCATAACTTGTGAATGTTTTATGAGAAGCTAGGCTAGTTGATTTTTCTGTGCGTGCAAAGTTTCAAACCTAAATTCGATAGCTTAGTAAAATCTCAATAGGAATCGAAATCTTTTTTCATTTAGGGTTTTCATTACCATACTGCAGTATATATATATATGTAAAAAAGAATTATTCAAATTGAAAGGAAACATTTGAGTAGATTCTCTCGTTAATGAAACGGTGAAAATAGCAGAGTCTTGAAATCTGCTTACTCGTTATTTGACTGAGAAAATATTTTTTTTTTAGACAAAATAATCTATTGAAATATTTCTTGTATTTATTTTTGAATCATTTCTTATTGTTTATTTTATTTTATTTTATTTTCTATTATTATTCATAGTTATGCAAATGTGATGAAAATTTAATATTTTTTGGTTCACGTCTTGGTAATTCTTTACTTCTTCGTTTACATGAAAATACAATTATAGATCCAACATCAATTGATACAATTGAAACAATGAATGGTGATGAAAATGAAAATATTCGTAATGATATTCATGAACAATCTGAATTAATAAATGAATCAATGAATAAAACAAATTTATCTGATAGTATTGATAATGATATAATTATTTCTAATAATAAAAATGATATTATATTTTTTACAAGTGAAATTGATACAAATGAATCAAAAAAACAAACATATACATATTCATTTGAATATTGTGATAATCTTATTAATATTGGTCCATGTGGTTATGCTATTGTTGGTGAAGGTGATAGTGAAGAAATACGTTTATTACAACGTCATTTACCATTACATTATCAAACAACACCATTAGATTTTGTTACAACATCTGGTACAAATAAATGTGGATCTATATCAATATTACAACAAACAATTAAACCTGAATTAATAACAACACAAGCATTACCTGGTTCAATTGATATGTGGACTGTTTATTCATCAACAAATGAACAAAATGAAAAACGTGAACATTCATTTATATTAATAAGTCAAGAAACATCAACATTAATATTTCAAACTGGTATTGATATAACGGAATTAGAACAAGGTGGATTTTTAACAAATGAACAAACAATTTTTTGTGGAAATATTGGTGAACAATTAATTGTACAAATAACAAGATTACATATTATACTTTTACGTGATAGTACACAATTACAAATGATTTCATTTGAAAATAATCCAATACGTTTTGCAACAAGTCTTGATCGTTATTTAGCTATATTAACAACACATGGTATTATTCATATTTATTTACTTGTAGACATTAATAATGAACAATCAAAACTTATTGAATATTATAAATTAAATGATAAAAAATATATATGTGTTAATTTATATACTGATCATAGTGGATTATTTACAACAACAATAAATAATAATAATAATAATAATAATATGAATAATATTTATTCGCATTCAACAATATTAAATTCACCTAAACAAGAAATAATTCAACAAACTATTGTATCTTTACCATCGAATCCACTTGATTCAACAGAATTTACTGGAGGTGATGATGAAGATGAATGGTTATATGGAGGAAAAACAATTGAAAATCCATTAGCATCTATAACAACTATTGAACCTATGGATAGTTCAAATATTTCTACAACAACAAAACCTCTTCCTTTAAATAATAATAATAATGATAATGCAATAAATATTATTCCAACTACACGTTGGTTAATAGCTATTAGTAAAGATGGAACATTAAGTATACATGAATTAATGACTGATGAAACAAAATCAGCAATAATACGATATGAAATAGCACGTTTTAATAGTGGACTTAAAATACTTGTCGATGTCAATGATGCAAGTCCATTAATGACACATTATCTAGGCAAAATTGAAACATCATGTTCAGCATATGTTTATGAATTACTTGTTATTGGTTTAGGACCAAAAAAAGATCGAGTGTATATGATTGTAAGTTTTCTCTTTTTTGCCTTTTTTTAGAACTTAAGAATAAAGCAAAGTAATGCCGAGAAGTAATCAATATAGTTACTTTGTAATATTACTTATTAGGATAGAAGATGATAGCAAAAAATTTAACAATCAAGTATTTTTTCGACTTTTTTTTCTTAACGGTAATAGTCAGAATAATTCAAAGAAAAGATTTGATTAACTCAAACAATTTTCAATGAAGAAAAGTACTTGTCAAATTTCTATTAACAGGTTTGAGTAAAATCTTTTTTTATAATATCGAAACGAATTCATCTGATAGAGAAAGTATTTTTGAACATAATAAGACATCCATGATCTATCTTGAGCGAACGACACATATTGTGTGAAAGGTATTTATACATAAGTTTTTCTTGAAATGAAATTGAAATTTTTCACTCAATGTTTTATTCAATATGGTGACCGAGTAGACAATCACTGGTTAGACTAACCATACTAATATCTTCTAGTCATCTTAAAATTTTATATTTTGTAATATTTATTGATTATTTAGGCACGAATTGATGAAGATCTTATTTTATATGAAGCTTTTCCCTATCAAAATTTACCAGAAGATCGTTTAAAATTACGTTTTCATCGTGTAACATGTAATGCATTAGTTCGAACAAAAAAATCGAGTGCAAAAAAAAATGCTGCAAAAAGACAAAAAGATGCTGCACAATTACAACAACAACAAAATCAAGTAAAACAAAATCCTAATGCTCATGAAGTATAGAAAATTTTTTTTTTGATGTTGTTTAATTAATCTATTCTATATATTGTTATTATTATTTTAGCCACTTCCAGTACAAACTGATCTACTTGATGATGAAATGAATGAATATCAACGAATGTTATTAAGACCTTTTAATGATGTAGCTAATCATTCTGGGATATTTATATGTGGTACTCATCCATATTGGTTAATATGGTATGTTACAATATATATTTACTTGAAATATTCGATTGATTATAAATGATTTTTGTTTTTCTTCTAAACAGGTCTAAAGGTAATTTACGAGCTTTTCCAATGAATGTCGATGGAGCAATAAAAACATTTGCTGAATTTAATAATAATAGTTGTCCTAATGGTTATTTATATTTTAATCAAAAAGATGATTTAAGAATATCTGTTATGCCATCAAAACGAATATTAGATACACCATGGCCTCTACAAAAAATTCCATTTAAACAAACAGGTAGAATTCTTAATCGATTATTGTATTAATTGATATTCTTTGTCTTTTGATTTAGTACATTTCTTATGTTATCATGTTGAAAGCAAAGTAAAAACTTACTGTTTTGTTTTTTTTTTGGATAGAAATCAAATTATTGAATTAATTTTTTCGATTATTTTTAGTTATATGCTGCAACTATAAGTACTAATGAACCAACAAATACATTAGTACAACCATCCGGTGAAGATCGTGAATCAATAACATATCAAAAAGGTTTGATAATTGATTGTTAAAAATAAATATTATTATTTTATATTTTATAGAATCTAATTTTCTTTTACCTTTACGTGAACAGTTTTTTGTACAACTTTATTCAGCTATTAAATGGGAACCAATTCCAAATGCTAAAATAACTATGAACGAATGGGAACATGTAACATGTATGAAAACTATTGCATTAAGATTTCAAGGAAATTTAATGAAAACTTATATTGCTATTGGTACAGCTAATTGTTTTAATGAAGATGTTGTTAGTAGAGGACGTGTTATTCTATTTGATATTATTGAAGTTGTTCCAGAAGTTAATCAACCACTTACTAAACATAAATTAAAAGTAAATATATAAAAGAATGAAAAACAAAAAAAAACATATAGTCCTAGACAAAACTAGTTGCACTACTTCTTCACGAAGTGTTACTATTTTATGAAACACGATCTAAATAGTGTAGAAATTTAACCTTCTCTATGCAAACCGCAACGAACATTGTTAATATACGATCAAAGATCATACATCAACAATGTCTCATTCTAATGCATGAAATATTTCATTGTTGCATTAATCTGCTTATGATTAATTACAGAAGTTATATTGTGTTTCACATTTAAATCTCACAGAGATTGCGCTAACAATTTTTTTCTATGATATTCAAGTGATATTTTGTATAAATGCGTGCGACAAGAAATCCTGATCTTCAGCATTAACTCTCTCTCTCTCTCTCTCTATTGGTATCTATGTACTGGAGTTATGGTATTGAGATGTTGTCTTTCTACGATAGCTTTCATCAGCTTATTTGAAAATTTTCATAACATATCAGTCTATTCTGAAAACTTTTAGAGCCAGAGAACTGAATGATGTCGAGTTAGTGCTATGACATGAACTTGTTCGTTCGAAGCGTACTAATTACTAAGATCTTGATTATGTGTTACAGACTTTTATGATAATGAATTAGATGTATGAGACTGCCTTTAGCACTAGAGAAAAAAACATTTATAACTTATAGAATAACAAAATGATAAGCGAAGACTTTTTGAATGCATATTTCTGTTGAATTCATTTTTCGCAAGAAAACATCGATATGTAAATCATGACTGCAGTACATGTAAATTGATGAGGCCTGACTGGTGTTTGCTATTAAGTTTGATTGTCGCACGCATGTGTTGTCTAAAGAATTAGTTCAATTTCATAAAGCATAGTAGCACTACATGCAGAAGGGATACTTTTGTTGAGAAATGTATATAAATATTTTTTTAAATATATTTAGATTGTTCATGATCGTGAAGAGAAAGGTCCTGTAACAGCCGTAGATTCAATTCTTGGTTATTTAGTTGCTGCTGTTGGTCAAAAAGTTTATATATGGCAATATCAAAATAATAGTTTAAAAGGCATTGCTTTTGTTGATATACAAATATATTGTCATCGAATGGTAACAATAAAAAATTATATTCTTATTGGTGATGTACATAAAAGTATTGCTTTATTACGTTATCAAGAAAATATGCGCGTTTTATCATATGTTAGTCGAGATTCACGTCAATTAGATATATTTGCAACAGATTTTTTTATTGATCAATCCCATATACAATTTGTTGCTACAGATTCTGATCGTAATATGTATATTTATGCTCATGCTCCAACACAAAAAGAAACTCAAGGTGGACAATGGCTTTTACGAAAATCAGATTTTCATATTGGATATCCTGTTACATCAACAATAAGAATGTTAGTTAATGTGAATAATTTAACAGCAAAACAAAATTTTGAAAATAAACAAGCTTTATTAATGCGTAAGTTAAAATATTTATCAATTATCCTATCAAATATTTCTTAGTCACATCAGTTTATCAAATGTTCAATCATTATTCACTCTATACAATTCTATAATCTATTGAATATTTAAATGTAATCTTGTGTATTAAATATAGAAAACTGGAGGAAAGATCTTCCTCAAATTGAAGAAGCTCTATATTTTATACTCACTACATTCACGAGATCGAGTTGCAACCGGTAGTAGTCAAAACAATATGAGTCATTCTTTCCTTTTCTAACCATATAATAGTAAAATCAAATCCTTGATTAGTTCTATGTGCCTCTTAATTATCACAGTAATGATGTAACAGCTCTAGTTCACTATTTACTTTAAGAAGGTAGTAAGACAAATAGGTTTATGATAATTATTTTTAATAACATGATAAAATGTGAATTTGAATTGATAAAATATATTTAAAGTGCTATGATGAATATTCATTTAACAGGTAATTTTGATGCATATCTCTTTCAGAAATAGTTTTGGACATCAGCAAAAAGCATTTACTTTGCCCAAAAAACAAAAACAACATAAAGAATACCGAGAAAAATTCAGACCGATCGTTTGTCGTTACCGGTTACAATACTGTTATGAGAATACGAGAAAATAGTAGACTTCATAAGAAGATAAAACGGCATAATTAGTAATATTATTTCAATCAATATGAATCCAAGTATAATTCTATATCTATTCCATTCAAGTCATTGATACATGTATTACACAAGGAAAGAGAAAAATTCGTCAGATTTTTTTTTAAAATATATTTTCATTTATTATTAAAAGAAAAAATGTTGATTTTGTGGTGTTGGAATCACATAAAGGCATTGGAATTAACTGTTTTCTCTTCAGTCATTCGTTGATTAGGACTGAGAAGTTACCATTATGTGATCAGTTACTCAATAATAAGTACTGGAGGATTTGTGGATTTATAAAGGACATATTATTTTTCAAAATACATAATATTTTATGAAGTTTAACCAAATGTTTTTAATAGAGTCAAGTTCTTGTTTATAGAGTTTATATGTAATATTAATTTTAAAAATTATTTTAGCAACTCTTGATGGTGCTATTGGTTGTCTTGTACCTTTAAATGAAAAAATCTTTCGACGACTAGCTATGTTACAAAATTCGTTGACAACAATGTTTCCACAATACTGTGGCTTAAATCCAAAAAGTTTTCGGTAAATATTAATATTTTATAATTATCAAAAAAAAAATCTATCATGTGATTTTTTTTTATTAAAGAATATGTAAAACACGACGAAAACAACTTGATAATCCTCAAAAAAATACTCTTGATGGCGATTTACTTTGGCGATATTTTGATCTTAGCTTTATTGAACGTAATGAATTACTCAGTCGTCTTGGAATGACACCAGATCAAGTAAAAGAAAAGAAAAGAAAACATCTATTTCATTTTTAAGCTAAATTTTTTTTATCATTCTATTTTTAGTTCCACGAAGATCTGACTGATATTGCACGAGCTGTGACTTTATTCTAATTCTTATATAAATAGTTGTTTTTTTTTCTCTGTGTTTTTTTTTCGTGTGTGTTTCTTTATGTATAGAAAAACTCAGATGTGTTACGTATTTTGATTGTTGACATTTTTTTTTCTCTGTAGATTAAAAAAAGAAGTACAGAAATGGTTTTTGAAAATTTATTTCAAAAACAGAAAAAATCCGAACCTACATCTTCATCTTCTCCAGTAATTAAGACTAATAATGATAATAATGATGATAATAAGAAATATATAAATTCATTAAAAGATTGTAAACCTACAGCACTTGAAGATTATGGTTATTATTTTTTTCCTGAAAGATTCGGTAAAGAACATATATTAACAATACCACAACGTATTTTACAACTTTCAATTCCATATGATTCAGCTGCACGAGATTTAACAAGAAAAATTGAATGTGAAAAATATATTATTAAAGCAATTGAAACAAATCCATTAATTAAAACACTTGTACAAGCACTTGCTGATCATAATTGTCCTATTGATTTATCACGTCATTTTAGTTGTGAATATTGTGATGATGCTATGCCAACTGGAATGTTTGATCCAGCAACAAATCAAATAGTTGTTTGTAAAAATCAAATATCATATTTTGATAATTGTATTATTACAGGACTTGTACAAGCATTTGATTATTGTCGAAATAAATATGATGTACATAATTTACGTCATTTTGCATGTAGTCAAATACGTGCATTAAATTTTACTGATTGTAGTCTTATTAAAGGATGTTGTAAGTCAAATGATCATTTTAATATAATATTTTATTTTATTTTATCTTTTTGTTTTTCTTCTAGATGTGGATTTTCGTGTTAAACGACGTTATCATGCATGTTTAGAAAGTGAAGCAGTACGACGATTACGTATGATGCGTTCTGTAGAAGAAAAAGAAGCAAAACAAATTGTTAAAGATGTTTTTCGACCATGTCGTTATGATTTAGAACCATTTGGTGAAGTTCCAAAACTCGTTCCAAAAAATAAATATATATACAATGAGTATGAACGATATCGACGATGGTCTAAAACAACAGTATAGAATAATGAATGTGCTTCTTTTTTTCTTAATTAGTCAATTGGTTTTGTTTCACTTGAGTTTTGTTTGTTATCATGAAAAAAGCAATAATATATATACCACTTAGGTGTGAACTATTTCGAGTGTTGCTACTTCTCATTTTGTACTTTCCTATAAAAATATAAACTCAATTGTTACCATATGTTTAAGTACTATGTATCAATTATATACAAGAGAAATCGATAAGTTTTAAATGATGATATTAAACAATTATACTTCATAATAAATGTGGTACAAGCTAGAGAGAAACAGCAAGGACTTCAATCTTCAAGTCTGCTTTTTTCTCTTTGGATACAACTTAAAAGAGAAAAACGAAAAGTTCATACTTCAGCGTACATCAATGGAAATAACAAGTTAGCCTTTATGTTTTTAATTGGAGCAAGCTGAATAACGAAATTTCCTTTTTGTTTCTTATTTACAAGTAAATCTAGTAACCTGTTGTTTCATCATATACCTTCGAAGTAGAAATGAAAGACATTAGAAAATTCAATTGTTGTTAATATATTAGCAAAAGGATGCAACTCAACTTGACAAGAAATTATCCATAAAAATGAAGTCGATAACTCTTTTCATGATATTAAATGAGGGTGTGGATGTAAAGCTTCCATTTAATCACAAACACAACGCACATGCACACCCCACACCCACCCTTGTTGGAGATTGAGAAAAATTCTCTAATATAGATTTCAAAGTTGTTCACCCTTTTGTTTCATCGATATCATTATCGAGCTTTTGTATATCTTGACAATTTTTCGTAAGTACTTGAAAATTCTTATAATATCGATAAAGAAGTTCTGTCACTTGCTAAATATAAATATTTTTAATGTAAGCAAAAAGAAAACCAACAATTAAAATCGTTCTGACTTGACACTGTATTGGATTTCGATCTAATTCGCATGTTTGATAGATTTGTTCAATAGATCGCTTTAAATTATCAAATAAAAATATCCAATGATGTGAGTGAAAATTTGATGAAATTAAATCAGATTGATGCGATGAAATGTCATTATTAGAAATCTTGTGTAATTATATCAAATTAGAAAAATATATAAGCATCTCGTTCATCATTATTAGATAAAGTAAAGTAACAGTGATATTGCATCCATTAAAAGAAAAATCAATGAAAGTTTTTGAATATTTAAGAATATCAGGAAGAGTGATACAGTATTCATTTAAAAAATACTTTGAAAATGTGATATGTATGCAACAAGAACCTATGATCACGAATTATTTTCAATGGACATAATACCCATAGTCTTCGTTAAGAAGAGATGAAATATTTTAAAAACATTCATCGTTAGAATTTAGGTTAAAAAAGTTTTTCAAATTATGTTAAAGAAACGACAACAGTATTGAATAGGGTGTGGGTGTGTGGTGTGCGTGTGGGTGAGTGTGGATGTGAATGTGGATGTGGTGTGGGGTGTGGGTGTGGTGTGGATGTGAATGTGGATGTGGTGTGGGTGTGGGTGAGTGTGGAT